CCCCCCCCCCCCCCCCCCCCCTCGGCGTGAAACGACGAGAAGTGATGTAGATAGGATGGATGAGGTGGGAACACATTTTTGAGCTCCCTTTGGCAAAGTAGGAAGGAACGGTTGGCCATCGGTGATCGCTCCTGTGCGAACAATGCTTCGTCCTCTCGAGGACGCGTGGTTAGTAAAAGTCAAACACCGAAGACATTCAAAACATGAGAACACGCCGCCCGTTCCCGCTCCTTCTCCCGCACGAACCTTCTCCGAAACGAAACAAGCGACAGCGCAACCGGGTGCAGTATCAGGCAATCATGCAGCGCGTTCTCAATTTCGAAGCCGAAGTGCGAGACAAGACAGGTGTTTTCGACGAACCCCGAAGCCACATCTCACACTTTCCCCCACATCGAGAAGAGTCTTTGGTCGATCCAGTGAGTCGTTGGAATTGTTGTGTGCATTTTTGCGTTTTCATGATTGTTTTAACCTCGCGACTGATGGTGTTGGTGATGGTGCTGTTATTGATGCCGTACGGTCTGTCAAGTTCACGATCAAAACCGTTGCCCCTCGTGCTGTGTCGCAAACATCGAACTGTCCCTCCCTGGTTCCAGAAAACGGTGGAGGGCTTGTGATGTGCTGCTGTAGTGCACAATGGGCCGCTAGAAGACGGAAAAATGACGTTGCTGCTGGAGATAGATAGCTTCTGATGACACCAATGAATACCAAGAATACCAAGAGACCTCGACGGCTTCCATGTCGGGAGACGCCGCGGACTACAGGGTGTTGACCTTCTTCTTTTTGCCGTCCTGCCGTGATATTGCAGCTATCGTTTCAATGGTCAATCGGTGCTCGAGATCGATGCGGAATGAACTTCGAAATGGATACACACGCATTTTTATGCCGGAGGTAGAGGAATCGTGCACGACAGGACGGCAGAGGGCGCTACTACTGCCACCCTGTGCCTGACAAACACGAAGCAATTCGCATTTATACCGCTTAATCATTGCACTTACCCATCATCTGTACTCCCTTGGGCTGCCACGTCCGCTTGCACCACACGACCTGGCACCAGGGGTGGGTGATGCCGGCCAAACGTATACCACTTCTTTTTTCGTTCTACCTTAGGACATTGCCTTGAACGGTATTGATTGAGATCACAAGTAGACAGGATGATCAGTATCACACAAGGAATGAGCATCACGCGAAATGGTATTTCGGAGCATTTTTCGCAACGACGAAATCACTTTTTGAAACAAATGAAACTCACTCGTGCTGCTCAGTTTGTTGACTGCCTGGCCTGGTGCTTTCACTTGGATACCATTGTCCTTGGCATCAGGCACTGCAATGTCGTCGTCCAAGACTTTGATGGTATCATCACGGGAACGGAGGGAGAGTTGGGCGATAGACGCGTGGTATTGTGGCGCAGGGGCCTGGGGATGCAGCACCATCGGCAGCGGCGTCGGCGACGGCTATTGCCACTGGGGCGCCAGGGGTAGGGCTTGGGTCGCGGGGTACGGGGCGCGTCGGCTGCAAACACGGTTTCGGAAGGTAGCCGCTCAAATGGTGGGCGTCGCCCCCTCCGCTGCGGCTCGTGCGAGCAGCCGTTATCGAAAAACTCTTCCCCGGCCGCCTGTACAGGCAAGCACCACAGCCGCTGCTACCGCCGGCGCTGTTGCCACGGTGGCGCGTCTTTACGTTTCACATTCTTGGCAGCACTGCTGGCGCTTGACGTTTTTGCTAGTAACGGCTCTTGTTCCGTGTCGATATTATGTTGAGGTGCTGCCCCGTTTGCGTGCGCTCCGACCGGGTGGGGCATTGTGCCAGCGACTATTGTAGGAATGATTCTGTCGGCGGTAATGTACTGCACAACTGTACCCGGTGTCGATCGATCGAAAGGAAGTCCTTTTGGGGGTAGGAGTTGGCCTGTGACCAAAGAAGGCGTCTGCGTCATTTGGACTGTGAATGGAAAGTATTGAGCAGAGACAGCAACGATTGCTTTTGCGTGGAAGACTACAGCAGGAGCAACAACGTTGATTCGACGGGACGGTTCTTCGCGGATTCGACTGGCGCTGGCGACCACCGCCGGCCGTCGTGATTTGGGATTATCGTGCAGATGCAGGCCCCTCTCTCCCCGAATATGTCGAAGTTGACTGCTTGTTCGTTCTTCGCGTGCTCGTTGTCTGTGCACCACCACGCACACAGTCTGCCGGGGGGCTGTTTTATTTTTGGCACCATGCTGGGGTTCAGCAGAGGTTGACCCGAAGGACGCGGGAGCGGGTGCACGCATGGCGGCTGAGGTCATGGGTGCGATGGAACAATGTGAGACTCTCCCTCTCTCTCGTGAACCGGTTGGCAGCAAGAATCATCTCAAGAGCACGATGCGAAGCTTGTCTGTCGCACACAGACCTTCCAAAGTGCGTATTGGTTCTCTCTTGGATGTTTATTGGTTCTCCCTTTGGTTCGGTTCTCATGACGCCGTTCATCCGACTACAACCCTGAGACGTGTACAGCATACGCCGGCGTTGAGGCGACCTGCCCCCCGACCTCCAACCGACCCGTGATAGTATCATCCCGAAGCACCTTGGTGTCCCTCGGCACATCAGTTGGTTATCTTTGTCTTGTTTTCTTCTCTCGGAGTCACTGCCTCTCTCTCGCGCCATCGTTGCCCTTTTTTTTGTCCGGCGGGAGCAGCTCGGCGTGTTGGGCTGGCAGCTATGCTTCGAAAGGTTTCCCCGCGTCGTCGTGGATTTTTTTTTGGTGTAGCGGCTTTTTTCTTGCACGTGACCGCCGATCCCTGTTGCTTATGACGGTCCGTCTACAGTGAACATGGACCCAGGTTTTATGCGCGTCGGCGCACGATGTCCCCGCCGCACCCCCGTCCCTTGCATAACCTACCAAGCAACAACGGCCCCGCGGCCCTGANCCCCCCCCCCGGTGTATGCCATCGGGGTTGGGATTTTCGTCGCTTGGCAACGACGTTGTGTACCGAGCCGATCGCTTCGTGAGGTTGACATCAGGTTGCTGCTTTTTTTTGCGGTAACCATAATGGTGGTCGAGTACATTATTCTGTGTGGGTTCGAGAACGAAAACTCCGCGCAAAGGGGATGATCGCACCACGTTGTGTTAAATTCGCAACGCACCCTCGAGACAATTACACACCGGTCGCCCCGGTGGTCTAGTGGGTACCCTCGCAGCCTGCTAATGGCCAGGTCATGGGTTCGAGTCCCGGCAATGTGAGTTTTTTCTCACTAAATAAATCCTGGCCTAGGATGAAAGCGACGCGCTGCAAAGCTCATTGTTAGTATAACATAATCGACTTCGCACGTCGCGAGCGAAGGGATTGTTGTACCCTTCTCGCGATAAAAATATCTCAGGCAGGAACCGCAGGAGGGGGTTCAACCCCCCCCTCCTGTGTGACCCCGGTTGGGTCGTCTAGCTAGTACAAGTGGAGGATAGGGGCCAGAGGGGCAGACGACAGAGTCCAATGATGGGACACTGCTTATAACTGTCTCTGGAAGTGGAAGCACCAGGAAATAAATTACGTCATTCGCAGCTGTCATCGGTCGCAAGGAAGTAAACACAAGATGCTTAGAACCCGTTGCAGGATGCAGCGCACTCTCCATGCGACCCGCCGAATACTTCACCACGATTCGCGCTCGGTGATGTGAGAGTCTGGTCCGGTGATAACCCAGCTTTCTGCGTCCGGCTTTGTACGGATGCGAGGTCAATGGTCTAATGACTACGGCATACACGACTATGAGTACACACACACCCGCCCGACCGCGCTTGGCTCCCGTCCCATGATCAGGCGAGAAATCGAAGAGGAACCCAGCTTCTCGCCCAGCTTCAATATGCCAGGAGCACCGGGGCTCCGCTGAGGGGTATCATGCGTAGGCTGTCGGAGTTGCGAAGTCTGCAGTTTCCGCACAACCATCGGCACGACCCCGGTGCCCGCAAGACGCAAGCCGGGGTCCCCGCCGCCTCCCGGGACGCAGTCGAGGCGGAGAGGGCGTCGGTCCGGCGGATGTGCTCCGATCTGAGGATAGACATGGCGGCCGGAGTCCGCGGTGGTAGGGAGGCTCATTCTTCTCCTTCCACCTCGCGCGCCGGCGGCAGCGGCGGCAGCGGCGGAGAAGGAGGCGGCAGCGACGCACCTACTGGTGCTCCTCAAGGTGGGGCGCACTGTCGACCTGGAGCGAGCCGGGGGAGCGGCGACCGAGTGTTCGCGACGATCGAACCGCTGCTGATACCCGACAACAGGCGCGGTTGTTTCGCCCCTCGGTGACAACGGCGGCAGGGCCGCCGGCGGCGGGAGCAGCGCTGTGGGTGGAGGCGTTCTGCGCGTCGTCGTTTGCGGGGGAGGCGGTTATTTCGCGAGCCCGTCTTCGGCCATCTGCGTCTCCGGGGGCAGGGCGAGGCGCGCGAGAGAGCTGAAGAAGGTCGTGCTCGCGGAGGAGAGGGAAGCTGCCGCCGCCGCCGCCGCCACCGACACGCGCACCCCCGGCAGGCACACGTGCCACAAGGTGGAGGCCAACGACGCGTTCCTGCTGGGGAGGGTGTCGGTGCTATCGGCGCGGGAGTTCGACTCGCGGAGGGGTACTGCGGCCGGGATCCCGGCGTGTACGTCCAGAAGCAGTAGATGCCCATGACTCGGGGTCCCCCCACCTTGTGGATGGCAAAGTAGGAAGGCAGAGGCTGCTTGTTGTTCGCCATGCTCTTTTTGAGGTCTGGAGTATACCGCTGCTAGGAACGTGTTTACTTTTCGGGGTGTTGATGTTTGTGTGTAGTTGTGGCGTTTGTTTGGTGTAGTATGTGTTCATGTGGTCGCCTACGGGGCGTAGATATGCCTGGAGGAGGCGGGCGATGTGAGAGAGGCATTTCGACAGTGCTACCAGTAACTGATTCGGTACGATCTTTTGAAGGGTATTTCCATGTGTCTATTGAGTCTACCGCCGCTGCAGGGATCAAATTGCCGAAAGCTTCAAGGCCGCCCAGTACTGTGTATTTTCCATTCTGACGATGTCATCGTTGCGCGTGGTGTACCTGCGTATTGGAAGGACCGAACTAAAACCTCATCTGTGTCACCCTAACCCTATGAGGCTGACCAACCTGTTGCGATTTACTTGTTGCGCAAGGGACTCGGGAAGGGGACACACTGCAGGAGCCCTGATGTATCAGCACTTACTGTTTTCTTCAGGGTTACCTCAGGCAGGTCAAGATTATTCGTGGGATCGCACGACAGTCACCACTCTTGGCACACAGCGATCATGAATCACCCGCGCCATGACGGTGTAACCCAGGTCTAGTGTGGCGACGGCACGTACGCCTTAAGAGGCAGCGCGGACATTGCACGCCAGTTCCAGCACAAGCTTGGTCAGTGAGTACCATTCACTCAATCTTCGAGTCGCTCGCTTGAAATTGCACGTGCATTTGTTTGGCCTGGATGATTACTTTGATTATCATTCTTGTTTCCTTGAATGCTTCATGCCACCAAGTCAGATTGCATTCCTCGTCACACTGCCAAGGGCCGGAGCAAAAACAAATTACCACAAAATTGTGGCAGCACAACACCGGGGTACCTTTTCTACAATCCATGCGCGCAAGCAAAAAGCCAAGTCAACACCACGTGACCCCTGCGGTGTGGCACGAAACGCAGCATCAACCAGGCAGGCAAGAAAGAGCCCGCAGGCACACACCCCCACAGTCCTTGAGATCGAATCAAGAACAGACGCAAGCTGGAACCACAATGCTCCTCTCGCCGCAACCCCTTCAGCGTGAAGTGAGGGATGAAACAAAAATACATGTGCCCGATTGCCCCCCCCAAAAAAAACACGAAAACAGGGCAGAGAGGGAAAAAAGTCTTTAACGTGGAAGCAATCTAGTTGGTCATGGGCTCGAGTTTTGCCGTTCACGGGAATACATCATCGGGGACAGGCATCAAGAACCTCTAAAATACGAATACGTAGTAATCCGTGCCACATCCGTCGAAAGCAAACCCACTAAATAGTGGACCATGCTATAGCTGTACAACTGCCATGGCTTGACAGTAAACCGCATCATCAAAGGCGGGGCAAAGGGTCGGATGAATCGACACCTCGCTCAACGCCTTCGAGAGCAAGCTTACTGCCAAGAACAATTGCAACAACAACAACCTGCTGCCGCTTAAGGTGCCGGCGGAGAAACCCTGTCCCCCCTCCCCTCCCCCGGACATGCGTTCGATCCTTTGGCGGCACTTCTGTCATCTCCCACTCCCTCTCTCTCTCCCTCCGATTCTACTCGCTACCCCCGCGTCTTGCCCTCCTGGTCGTCTGGGGCGGCCCTGAGGGTTTGCCGCCCGCCTTCTCCTCCCCCTCCTCGTCGTCGCCCCCCCAGTCTGCCTTGGGCGCTTGTGTCCGACCTTCCAATTGGCTAAGACTTCGCCGAAGTTGGACTATTCGCCCCACACCATGGTGGACTCCTCCGCTCTCTCGTTCATCTCGTACAGGACCTTCTGCAACTTGTGCGGAGTCATGACTTTGTTCCGGCCCGTAAGGTCCCGGCTGAGGAGATGGCGAGAATGCAGCAGGGTATCCGGGAGATTCCCACTGCCAAAATCTACTTCAAGGACAACGCCGGCGCGCTCGGATCTGTCCTCCTGACGGTTCAGAACAAGATCTTGACTCCGCGCAAGTTGCAAAAGGTCTGCAACACCGCAACTCAAGTTGCAGAAGATCCGCAACTTGCGCGGAGTGAAGATCTTATTCTGAACCGTCAGGAGGATAGATCCGAGGGCGTCGGCGTTGTCCTTGAGGTAGATTTTGGCCGTGAGGACCTCCTGGGCCCCCTGGAAGACGTCCTCCAGCTCAAGAAGCAAGCTGCCGACACCGACATGCCTACTGCCATGGAGAAGGCGGAGATGGACGAGGTATTCCGCTGCGGCACCGAGCAATTGCAGATGGGGCAGGTCAAGCTGACTGAGGACGTGGCCGAAGTGCAGCAGGGGGCCCAGGAGGTCCTCACGGCCAAAATCTACCTCAAGGACAACGCCGACGCCCAACGGTGCTGGTGGCAGGCGTGTCACCAAGGTCGTCCTCCACGCGACCGAGAAGCTTGGCCTCAGCGCCGTCGAGCTTCTGCTGCCACTTCCCATCCTTGGTCTCCCCGTTCTCCTTTTACCATCTTCCCGATGGCCAGCACCGTCTCCTTTAGGTGCTGGCCATTAGGCAGATAGTCAAAGAGACCCGGGAGACCAAGGATGGCAAGTGGCAGAAGAAGCTCGAGGGCGTTGAGGCTAGGCTTCTGGGTAGCGTGGAGGACGAGCTTGGTGACACGCCTTCCACCATCGCCTCCGTCCGCGAAGACGTCCTCCAGCTGAAGAAGCAAGCTGCCGAGATGAAGAAGCAAGCTGCCGACGTGAAGAAGCAGTTGGCCAAGAGCGCCATCGCGGACTCCCGAAAGGAGACGGTGCTGGTCATCGGGAAGATGGTCAGGGAGAACCGTGAGACCAAGGACGGCAAGTGGAAAAGGATGCTCGCCGGCGTTGAGGCCGGGCTTCTCGGGCGCGTGGAGGACGATGGCCTGGCCCCTGCTCGATGATGGTGCTGGTCCTGGATGTCGAACAACGGACATGCGGGTTGAAGCAACGATACACCGACGGCACCAGTCACTCCCATATCACATCATGTCAACTGACGAATACTCCATAACCCAGCGGCGAACTCACGCACGGTTCTACGGAACAGCAGCATGGATCGATCCTGGACTTGGTCTTTGATCTGCGTGCTCAGTTTTAGAACACGCTGTGCCGTATGTTTCGTGGCTTGTGACGACATATTGGCAGCAGCGCTTGAGAGACGTATGGAGCGAAAGCAGCTGCAGAGCAATTTTACAAGTTTTCCGGCTAAGGCAGGTGAGATAATCCCCGAATGCTTGTTCAGCACCAGTTTTTCCAAAGTCGCGGGTAACGTCGACACCAGCGGCGCGACTCTTGCCGCCCACCCAACAAACACGTCGAGTTGGGCACACGTGATGCGCTCTGAGCTGAGGGGAACCGCATCATCGGAAGAAGCGACTAGCCGAGAAGAGCGTTGGCATGCGCAAAGAACGAATCAGTCTGGCTTCTGGGGGCTCATCACCTTCATCCAGGCGACACGTTTGAGTTCGACTTGGCCTCGCCACGTGCCTACCATGCGTGCAAGATAGGCCCTATCTGCGTCTATCTACTATTTAGACGCACATGGGGCATACCTCGACCGCATGACGGGCACGTGGCAAGACCACCACGAATTCAAACGTGTTGGCTGCTGAAGGCGAATAGGCTCGCGAAGCCGTTTTGGTATTCCAAAAGGCAGGGACGGAGTGGTTAGCCGAGCGAAAACTCTTCAAGGAAGTGGTGCAGTCATCATCTGTGTCACGAGACGATGGGGAGAGCGTGTTCGACGGCAGTACCGGATGTGTGCACCACACACGTGGTTACGGTGCAACGGAAATTTCGACGAGCACCCCATCCCGCCGTTCAAGTAGCTGGGCATCACACCGATCTTGATGCATCTCCCGAAGCGCTGAATGGCATCGCAGGGCGTGTCTACAAGACGCTAGCTAAGGCTCTCGCGTGCTTCGTGCTGTCGCCACCGGCGAAACAGACCATCTAGAGATTCCAGTCACGTAAAATGCGCTGCATCTGCGGTTCTGCAATGGAGTACTGAAAGGCGGTCGCGCTAGCCTCGGCCAGGACAGCTCGTTCAACCATCTGGGCGAGGTCGAGCGGTGTCATGATAATCATGACACCGCTCGAC